ATGTGTGATCATCCATGTGATGACAGCACATGGATAAAACATGGATGAGTGCAATATCATGGGAGACAGGAGGAAGGAACTTGGAACTCTCCATTATAAGACACATAAACTACATACAAAGACAAGTAGTGTTACTTAAGACTTGAATTAGATTCATTAAAAAAATTGTAAACACTAGAGCAAACCAACATAAATGTTTTTTAAAATGTGTAGCTGATATACTAAAGGAAAAAGTAAAACGAAGCTATACAAAACACACAAATAAAATCAAAGAATTCATAACTATATGCCTCTGAAAAGGTATAGAAAGTATAATAAATATGACTGTTATTAATCCATCTACATAATTTATAACTTTAAATGTGAACAGTCTAAATGCAGCAACTGAATAGAGATTATTATAATGAATAAAAAATTACCTAATAATATGTCTATTTGTAAAAATACTTTTTAATATGAAGGGTCAGATAGTTTTGAAATAAATGAAGAAACATTTACCATGCTAAAACTGAACAAACGAAGCTGGAGTCATTACATTAATTTTGAAATAGCAGACTTTAGAGCAGGACAATTAGAGATAAACAGAGTTGCAACATAATAATAAAAGTGTCAATTCTCCAAGAAGATATAATTCTAAATGTGTATACACCTAGCTACAGTGGTAAAATACACAACACATAATTAAGAGAAGGTAAGACATAAGTAAACAAATCCACTATTACAGTTGTAGTTTTCAAAATAGCTGTAAGAAGGATGAAGTTGACATAAATGCCATTATAAATCCATCTAATGTATATGACATTTATGGAAACTTCCATCCAACAAAAAACAAATAAATACACATTTTACTCAAACTCACATAAAACATCCACCAAATTAGACCACATTCTGGGCCATAAATTTTATTTTAAAAATTGAAAGAAAAAAAATCGTTCAAAATACGTTATTACACAGTGGTATTAAATTGAAAATCAATAAGAGAAGTATAGGTGGAAAACCCACATATATTTGTAGATTAATCTACTCAATTATAAGTAACAAATGGGTAAAAAATATTTTTTAATTAAAACTTTTGAAGTAAATGTAAATAAAAATACAACTCATTAAAGTTTGTGTGATGCAACAAAAATCGGTGCTTAGAAGGCAGTGTGTCATATTAACTCCATAATTACAAGATTAAAAACTTGTAAAACTTGGTAATCTAAATTAGGGCACTGAAAATACCAATTTAAAATGCAAACAAGAAGTAGTAAAAAATAACAAAAAGCAAAAATCAATGAAATCAAAAATTGAAAAACAATAAAGAAAATCAACACAACCAAAAGCTGGTTTATTGAAATGATCAATAGCATCAATCAACCAGTAGTCAGACTAAGACCAAAAAAACCACAATATTTACTAATATTAGAAAAATATGAGATATTATAGCTACTGTTCCCATGGACATTAAAATTAGTCCATCTCATCCACTAAACAACCACATAAGTAAACCACGACAAAAGCTAGACCTGGCAAAGGAGTGATGGTGAGCATCCATAATGTCTAGAATATATTACTTATAATGTCAAGTTTTAAGCAAGTGGTATAAGCTTTGCAAGTAAACAGCAATATTTATCACATGGACAGGAAAAAAAATTAGAAGTGACTCCTGAGAAAGCCAACATATGAAACTTAATAGACAAAGACATTAATGGACTATTAAAAATATTTGTAAAAACTAGAAGAATTCATGCTTACAGAAGTAAAATGACAATGTCACAAACAGACTATTAAGAAAGATATAAATTACTTTTTAAAAATCAAATTGAAATCTGGAAATGAAAACATACAATTCAAGTTAAAAATTTACTAGAGTGTCTTAAGAGAAGATTTCAGCTGGTAAAAAAATAATAATAATTTTAAAAAACTTCAAGATGTATAGAAATTATGTAATAAAAACCAGGAGAAATAATGAGCAAATTAAGATTCATTAATTAACAAAAATAAACAGAGCTTAGGGAAACGTAGGACAACATTAAAGACACTAGTGTACTAGTGTGAGTACCTAAAAGAGAAACTAACAAAAGAAAATAATTTTAAATGACAGAAATCATTTGAAATTTGATGAAAAAAAAATCTATACACCCAGGAAGCTCCATAAACTCTAAGCAGGATAAATCCAAAGATACTCACACACAGATATATTATAAAAGTTTATTAAAAGACAAAGAGGTCTATCTTTAAAGGAGTTGGAAAAAAACGAATGACTTGTTACCTTTGAGGGGATTCCACTAACAGTTGATAACTCATTAAAAAAAAAAAAATAAAGAAGCCAGAATGCAGACAGGCTATGAAATCATAAACGCTGTCAACCAAGAACTGTTTTCCAGCAAATGTATCTATTAAAAACAATGGTAAAATCATTACCCAAATACAACTGAGCAAATGTGTTACTTGGAAAATTGCTTTACAATGTATAACAGTAAGCTATTCAGGTTGAAAGCAAGTAACCTTGTATGATAATCCAAATCTAAAAACAAAAAACAGAAAAACAAAGAGAACTGATTGAAGTATTTATGTAATTATAAAATACAGTATATATACTGTATATATTATATATACTGTGTATATATCTTATATATAGTGTATATATGAAATACATATTCTGTATATATATGAAATACGTATTCTGTATATATGAAATATGTATTCTGTATATATGTGAAATATACTGTATATATGTGAAATATATACTGTATATGTGAAATATATACTGTATATGTGAAATATATATTCTGTATATGTGAAATATATATTCTGTATATGTGAAATATATATACATATTTCCTGTCCTTTATCTTAATAAGTGATTTTAAAAGCAAGTGTATAAAATAATACGCATGAAATTGTATCATTGGACTTACAGCATTTAAAAATAGATAATAGAATAAAAGAGGCGGGTAGGAGAAAACTTAAATGGGGTGTAACAAAATTGTACTAGACTGTAACTTGAATCAATAGCATCAACTTAAATCTACAGAAGCTAATGAATAGAATCAGAAATGATAAAATAGTTAATATGAAAATTTTAAAGTATATATTCTCCTTTTTTATTCAGCTTCTTTAAAAGATGAATGCATGTACAGCAATAATAATAAAATGCAGATTTGGGTTTTTTACATACATAAATGTAATGTATAAAACAATAATAGCACAAAAATGGAAGAAGGTATAGAGCTATACTGAAATAACATTTCTATATCTCATGATGATTATGTTAGTATTAATATAAAGTAGATTCTGTTAATCTGTAAAGAGTAAACCCTAGAGAAATCACTAAGAAAATGGTTTTTAAAAAAAGAGTAAGGTATTAAATAAATTTAAACATTACAATAGAAAATGTATGCTCAATGCAAAAGCAGTAAAAAAGATAACATGAGACATACAAAAAAACAAACAGCAAAATTGCATATGTCAGTATCCCAAACCTTATCAGCAATGATATTAAATGTGAACAAATTAAAAATCCAACCAAAAGGCTGAAATTGTCAAATTAAATTTTTAAACAGTTCCAACTACATGTTTTCTATACAAAACATATTTTAGATTTAAACATACAAAAAATCAAAAGTAAAATAATGGAATATAATATTTCTTGTTGGCAACACAAGAAATCTGGTGGCTATACCAATATCAAATAAAGTAACACCAAAACAGTTACCAAAAGAGGGATATTTGATAATCATACAATAATCAACTCATTAGAAACACATTAGAATTATGAATATATATGTACCTAAAAAGCGATAACAGTACACTAAGCAAAACTGACAGAACTCAGGGGAGAAAAGACATTTCCACAATAATTGGAGCCTTCAATGTCCTTCGTTTAATAACGGTTAGAGCAACTATGAAGAAGACTAACAAGGCAGTAGTAAAGTTAACAATCAACAAGACCTAATAAATATGCATTGAACACTTGACTCAACAACGAGTACACATTCTTCCCAAGTGCTCATGGTACATTTTCCAGAAGAGATCAAATGCCAGGCCTTAAACAGAATGAGTAAATGTAAAGCAGTAGAGATCAATCAGGAATGTACTCCAAACAAAATGGAATAAAATCAGAATCATCAACAAAAAAAGACCCCTGGAAATTCACAAATATATTCAAATTAAACAAAACACTTCTAAATAACCTGTGGGTCAAAAATATATCACAAAATTCTAAGTGCCTACCTGTGTTCAAACAAGGAGGTTCTTGTGGATTTAGGGAGGCATCTTTTGGCGAGGTCAATTCCAATGGCATGTTCATGCATCGATTTTAGAGCCAAGTTGTCCTCTTGCAATCTCCTGTAATAGGATTAGGGAGGCATATTTAGAGATAGGATGACCTCAGCAAAATGAAATGGCCAGATTTAACTATCATCTCTCCACAAAAACATTGAAAAATAAGCATAACCAGTCAGATACAACTTCATTAGAATTTCTAAAAAATAGTTCCAGGTTTACAGCAAGAAATGCTGCAACAAAGCAAATGCTGACTCAAGAAAAAGATAGCTGATATAAAAAATAAAAATATTTGTGATATTTTTGCTTTCCCTTGTTCCACCCCCTTCACAGCATGGTAACAGTCTTGAAGGTACCTTATGCTCCCAATGTAGGACCTCGGGTCCTGGGACTGAAGAGAGAAGAACAAACCTCATTTGCAAATTATTGTGCATGCCTGCTATAAACTCTTTGAAGACTACTTGAAGGATGGAGACAAGGTGCTCAGCAATC